GGTCCCCCGGACCCCGGGCCCTTCCGGCCGCGCTCGCCGCTCTTGATCTTCTTCCGCGCCATGTGGCCCCGGAAACTCGCCTGGATTTTGGCGGCGGCCGCGTTGGCTCCGGGGTCGTCCAGCGGGATGTCCAGGATATCGTCGTCCGGCTTGGAGCACGCGCTCTCCTAGGGCGGGCAGGGGCGCTGTTGGGGTCGCTGCGCCGAGACCCGCGGAGCAGTAGAGCTAGGGGGTGGCCCAGGGCGCAGAAGGGGGTGTGTTGGGTGCCTGCCCTCCTGGGTCGTTCCGGGCCAGGTGGTCGCCTGTGCGCCGGATTCCGGACGGAGCAGCGCTGGCTCTGAGTGCGGGGAAGCCGGAGAGCCCTTCCGGTAGGCCGTCCCCAGCAGCGCCTTACAGGAGCCGGAGGACAACACGTGGCGCCCGGGCCTGCCCTCCAGTCCAGGGTTCCTGCGGAGCAGGTGTAGACGCCCCAGCAGGGCATCCCTGTCCCTGAGTACACAGGCCAGGGCCCACTAGGACCAGAGGGAGCGTGCCCGCCTCCCCGGGCCAAAGGCGCACTGCATTGCTGGCTGCTCCCACCATGCGCGGAAGATAGGCGCTATCTGGGGGAAGTGAGGGAAAGAAGGTCGCTCCAAAAAGCAAGGAGACCTCAGGTGGCGTCTGCTCAGGAGGGAGGCGGGCTCACAGACACTCGCCTTAGCCGGGCAGTAAAGCAGAGGGCTGCCCTAGCTTACCCGGAACTGACAGGGGCTCAGGGACCTGCCAGAGGAGGCAGATTGCTGCTGGCCGCCACAAGATTTGGCCCTTCGGTATCAGCAGAAGCCTACTCTGTAAAATAGGTAGGTGCCACCGAGGAAACGGGCCTTGGATCTAACTGCAGTCTCTGGGCCATTGTTTAACGGCATCTCAGTCCCTTCATCTGAAAATAATATTCACCTCCATGGGTTGGGGAGGATAAACAGCATGATACACGGTTTCTGGCACCATCTAGTTGCTCGATAAATAAATGCTAGCTATTATTATGATTATTTTAAATAAGAATTCTACATTGACGCAAAATAGCTGTTTTTGTAGGCCAAAAGTGGTTATATAATAACAATTTTATAAGGTTCAACCTAATAATCAAACCCACCCCCGTGCCCCAAAAGTAGGTCTGCTTCTCTGACAGCCTGCCCTCCCTGCGAGGAGAGGATCTGGGATTGATGAGGACTGATGGTGCACCCATCAGAGTGAGCCTGGCAGGCAGAGGGATGCAGCCTGGAACATTCCGCTGCTTGGCATCATGCCGGCATCAGCGTGGTCAGGATGGAGTGGTTTCTGCGAGGGCTTGATAGTGCTCGTCCCGTGGTTTCGTGTTTGGTCTCTGGAGGTGCTGAGCCTAGTGGGTGGTGACTGGCTCATAGTACCTGCACCATGGGGCCCACGGCGTCCCAGCTCCGTGAGATGGGGTCAGGTCTGGCCATCATGAAAGCGCTGGCCCAGTTTGCCTGCTGCTCTTGCACCCACCTGCCACCCTCTGTGCTCCTGCTGTGGGCGAGCCTGATGCCAACCCTGTGCCCCGGGCGCTTTCCAGCCACTAGAAGGGTGAGTTAACAACCCTGTTTCTCTCAGCCCCCCAGTGTCATGTGTTTCTGTTAGCAAGCCTGAGGGATTAAGAAGGCTGCTATGGAGCTAGAAGGGCATTTCTCAGGCGGCATAACGGCTACGTTGCTGGACTCCCATGTCATCAACTGCGATTTGAATCCCGGACCTGACACCTTGGGACTTGTGCCAAGCCTGTGTGTGTGTGTGCCCCGAATCCCAAGCGGAGAATGGAGAAGGGATTGCAGCATGGCCATCCCCCCAGGGGGTGATTTCTCACTTTCTGTCTCTGTCTCTAGTGAGTGCATGTGCTCTATAGCAAATACCATGCTAAAAAATAGCACAGAAGGGTGTTTCTTGACCTGGCCTCTGGCTTCCAGGCCTTTTGTCTGAGGACCTTCCAGTGCTCTCGCCACCTCTTTCTCGGAGGCCCAAGGTGACCGAAGTCGTGGCCAGAGTGCTCAGGGCTGCTCACCCTGCCCTCCTCACTCGTCCAGGTCTCAGAAGTGGATCTGGCATGAGTGAGGCGTCCATGGTTACTGCCTCAGCCAGGTGCTGGCGGAGGAGCACAGGTGTGGACCCCAGACGCCTGGGCCCAGGCAGGCGAGTGGCTCCCAGAGCTGCCCTCGTTGCTCGGGCTTCGGTTCCCTCCAGCTCACGCTCACAACATGTGCCGCGGAACGAGTCTTGGAGTCAGCACGAGGCCTGTGTGCGTGGGGCCGCACACCCGTCCCTCCCAGCCTGGAGGTCTCCCGGACCCCACTCCTCACATTTGAAAACCAGAGGCACCTCCTCTGGTTTCTTGGGCTCTCAGAGTGCACGTCTTTCTTGGGATGTTCACGGGGAACGAGAGGCTTTTCAGAGAGGGCCATGGCCGTAAGAGGCCATCCCAGCCCACCGCCTCCTCGTCGACGCAGCTGTGGAGGGGCAGGCAGTCAAGCCAGAAAGGGCCGTCTTCCTCCAACCACGCTGACCGCTGACTGACCTGCTGGCACCCCCGTCCCCAGCTGGTCAAGAATGGAAACCAAGAGCAGCAGGCACGGCCACCCCCACTAGCCACTCCGACAGCAGATTCTCAGGAGGGAGCTGCTGGCTCCAGCAGTGGGACTGGAGGGGGACGAAAGGCACCCTGGGAGGGGCACATCGTCGTGGTGCCGGGTGGTGCCTGCCAAGGCCAGGGTGGACGGTGTGTGCCTGAGCTCTGAGGTATCTGCGAGGTCAGGGCCTACGAGGGGGCGCATTGGCAAAGCAGGAGCCATGGCTCCCCGCCTTATTAAAGCTGTCTGCATCAAAACAGAACCCTTTGTATCAGCCTGTTTTAAACCCTGACCAAACAGAGCCCAGAGGGCCAAGGGGGGCGTTTTCTCACATGGTGTGGGCTGGGACCAAGAACTGTCATGAGACTTCTGTGAGGGTGTCTGCCGGAAACTGCCTGTCCACACCTGGGCGGACCCCTCTGGTTATGGGCCCCAGGGGCCCGGGGTGACGTGGTCCCTAAACCACTGACAAGTCACCCCTCCTTTACCCTCCCCCCCCACGCCCGCCCGCCTGAGCCCGGGGTCTCTTCCTTTACCCTCCCCACGCCCACCTGCCTGAGTCGGGGTCTCTTCTGGCCGGCGCGTCCACACTGCAGTGGCCGTTTCCCTGGGAGTGTTTTCCTTTTAGCCTTACCCCTGGCCACTGGAAGGTGCTCCACGCCGCTACGAGCGGCCCCGCATTCGGCCACGCCTCGCCAGAGCTGGGCCAGGTTGGATGAGCTCTCCTGCAGCTCCCCAGGCCCAGCAGCGCTGGGAACCGCCCCGCCCGCTGCGTGGTAGGTACACCCGTGCACAACCGCTGTCAGTCCCCGTTTCAGACAGGAAACACATCAGGGATGTTCTGTAACTCGCCAGGTCACGCAGCCACAGACACGGATCAGACCCAGCAGCCTGTGCTGGTGACCACTGCTGTAGGGCAGGTGGGCAACAGGTCCTGGGCCAGGGCAAAGACTCCGCAGGAGAGCAGGACCTGACGCTGCCCCTCACCTGCTCACACTGAGCGCATAGGAAAGCGTGGATGTGGCTGTGGCTCGGTGAGCCAGCCCGAAGCAGCTCTCTCTCGAAAGGAAAGAGACCTCTTTTCGCTTTCCTGCTCTCCGACTCCTGACCAGGGGGAAGGGAGGGGATAAGGCAGGCTAGGTTCTTCCCACACGCTGGTGGAGGCGGCCGCCAGGACAACCAGAACCAAGGGTGAAGAGGGACCCGCCTCAGCTGGAGGCGGCTGTTCTCCCGCCACGTCCCCGCTTGGCCCAGTGTAGGATGCGGGGCTAGAGGACGAGGTTCAGCCAGCCCACCCTCCAGGGGCTCTGGGCCTGCACCCCGTCCCTCTCCCTGCAGTCCCAGAATGGCCTTGTGGACTGGGAGCTCTGGAGTGCAGAAGCACAGACGAAGTCCAGGGCCTAGGCCACTGGACAGCTGTGGCCACCTCTGCTGTGTGGGTGGGCGGCCTCTCCAGGAGACAGTGACTCCTCAGGGTGCACTGCTGGGCCCCAGGACAGAGCAGGGCCTACAGGGAAGGCCCTCACAGCTGCACAGGGGTCAGGGCACTCCTCTCAGCCGCGCTGCCCACTGACCAGGCCTCAGGACGCCTTCCCTGTCCTGCCCTCTCAGCCCGGGTGTGTTCTCTATGAAGCCACCGCTGGGCGCTCGTCCTCAGAGGGGCCCCGTTCCTCCTCCGTCCTCCCCAGGGCATGTTAGGGGCATGGTGCTGAAAACGAGGGCTAGCCTAGGCCCTCCACACCCAACAGCCAGGTTCTGGGAAAAGCCTGGGCGTGCATGTCTGTGGGACGTCCCAGCCCTGGGGGCTGTGGCGAGGCACATGGCCGGTCAGGGGCTGGCAGCTACTATAATCCTGGCAGGAGTGGACAGCACCACCGCGGCTACAGGGTGCTCGGCGTCAGGTCAAGGCAGGGAAGTCTGACCTCCTACAGAGCTGGGACCGCCTCTCCTTCCAGACCTCACCGGCCCTTTCTTTTCTCCTGTGCGGCTGGGTGGGTGGAGGTGCAGGGCGGGCAGTGGCCTCCCAAGTCACCGTCGGGGCGCCGAGCGCCTCAAGGTGTGGCGGCCCCCCCCCCCGCCCCTCCCCGGAACAG